AGATGATGTATTTATTTTGCGTCGTTATTAGGGAGAATGACTCTACTAACAACTTTAGTGAAAAATTAGATCAAAATTCTTGTCCAACAAGTTCTAGTTTCTATAAAAATGGGTCCACACCTTAAAAAATTTCTGGGATCGCCACTGATACGATGTATTGTTAATGCTTCGAATGCGTGACAGTTAAGTAGGATCTCAAGAAAGTAAGGAAAAGACAACACGTAGTTTATTTAAATCATCAACTGAAGTAACAATTTTTAGCAATGAATCTATTAATATATCTCTATCAGGGATACAACTATATATCTAAAAATAGTGTAACATATTTTTTATTATCTATATACTACTATATCTCGTTCTTGTTACAATTATATTCTACATAAACTTTCTATTATGAACATACAACAATAAAAAAAAAAGATAAGTGATTGAGTCTGTTTAGAAATGATAGACTGATGCAAAAATAATATCTATGTATAGTGTTTGATAAAAACTTCTCAAAATCAAATTTAAACATCTATATTAAGATTTTTAATGGTACTTTTCGTTGACAATTATGTTATAATAATTCGTACATAATAGAATAATGATACTTCTGTGGTTTACTATTGCATATTATTATGGATTATTTATACTTATCTGGATATGAATTGATAGGATGTATTAAATAAAAAATATCTTTTTGAAATATTTATAGAAATTACAAACTAATCTTCAAATATTAATTTGAGATAGAATTTAAAGAACAGACAATGATTTCTAATCAATATATATATCAGATAAAACAAAAAAGAAAAATCATAACATTGATTAATTAGATTTTTGTATTATTGTAAATTTAAATATTATGTTAATAGAACATTAGATTTATGTGTTACTAAACGCATTCGAATTGTTTGTCTAACTTGTTCACGTTGCGATTTTGTTCGAAATAAATTCATAAATTTCATAAAACAACATAATTGATAATAATAATAAAATAATTTTCGTATTTCATTTCGAAAAGATTTTCCACTTAAACAATAAACGTAAAAATTTAATGAACAATTAGCTAATATAACAACACTTATCCAATGTGATAATAACATATTTGATGTTGACCAATGTACAATTGTTGCTGTTAACGATGAAAAAAAGAAAAGACACGAATGAATTATTAATACAATATTCATCCATGATGTACGTGGACGATTATGAACTATTAAACCATCAACTCCTTCTTTACTACGAAATGAACCAGTTGTATTTTGACGAACATTTGTTGTTGAACTATGGGATGAAAATGATAATGTTGATTCTATTACACAAATTATTATTCCGATATTAAACATAATAACTAATAATGATGGAATTATTTCAGAAAATATTGAACGAAATGTTGTATAATTTAAACCAAATTGAACATCTTCTAAAAAACTACGCCATAATGGAGATATCGAATCTTTTAATGAACATATCATAACATAAGAATTATTTGGTAATTGATTAGTTATCAAATCGTCACTTTTACGAGTATGTCGAGATAATATTGTCACATTTGGTAATCTATATACATATATTAACAATAAAAATATTTATAAGTTTTTTTTTTTAAAAGTCTACAACTTTAACAATCGTTCTTCCCAAAGAAAATATTACTATTTTTGTAATAACTCAGGAATGACTAATATTTGATAATTTATAATAAATCTCTTTCAAAAGAAATGTTAATGAGTACAAAAATTCTCTAGAAAAATGTATGATATGTTAGTTTATACGTATAATTGTAATTATATCCTATATTAGAATCTTATATGTCGCTTAACTATCGCTCGATAAGATTTAATAGGAATTATAAAATGGTATTTCCTATGATCATATTTCATGATAACATTAAAACATCTTTTTTTCCTCATTCTTATGAATCTTATTTTCTATAATAAACAAGATATTGATGGGGAAATAAAACGTACGTGAAAGTTGTTATTGATGTTGTATTTTCATAAGATATTGTTGGTGAAATAATTAATAACATTGATTTTAATTGATAAAAATAAATCGTTGGTCCAGTAAGAGCAGTTATAATAATTAAAGATAAAAAAAACATAAAATAGAATTTATATTTTTTAACATATTGATTATTTGTCAAAAAATGAAAACTTGTTGTTACATAAGTAAATCTTTCATATGTCCATGCAACAGTTACAAATGCTGATAATATTCTTAAACAAGATGAAATTCGATATAATTTACAATTAAACCATGATTGTCCTGCTTTATGTTGAATCCAACGACGAGTTGATGAATGAAGAAGAAGTGAATAACGAAATACACATAAAAGATTTATTATTAATGATGCTATTGCTAATTTACCATATGTTGTACGACGAAATTTTCGTGATGAAAATACAATTAAACCAAGACTATTTCCAAGAGTACCAAGTATAATCATTATTATACAAATCCAATCAACAATATCATGTGTTGTTATTGAACCCGACATGTCATTCTATCTAAAAAAAAAAATTCTCTATCTTTTTCTTATTCTTCAACTTTTATATTAATTTTAAAAAATCAATGAAAATATTCTTCTGTTTTTTTTCTATTCGATCTCGATCAATAAATAATATATTTTTCTAGATTTGTTTTTATCCAAAAGTCAACTATGACTACAAGAAAATCTTCTCTGCGTGATTGTCATCCAAGAATATTTTATCTTATATTATAAAGATAAATCTTTTCTAATCTTTAGTGTCTCACAATATAAATAACATCAAAAAAAAAAGAAGAAGAAGAAGAACTCTATAGAATAACAACGACTAAAATTAAAATCTAAGTAAACTAATGTACTAAAAGAAAAAAGTTCATATTTAAGTGGAATTTTCTCCGTTTTTATTTTTCTATTCTTAACATCTTTTATTTTTCTTGATCAAAACAATTAATTATTCTGAATATACAACAAATAATATCCAACTCAAGATAAGTGCCACTATTTTTATAAAGAATCTATGCAAGTTAATTGCTCATTTCTCAACAGAGTGGATGCATATAATAAATTGGAGAAAATTCTTTTCTTTCTATTCTATTCAGATAGAAACTCAAAGAGAAAAAAAACGGGCACCATATATCTTTCTTTCTTGTCTTCTTAATGACTTTCTTTTTTTCTTTCTTTCTTTCTCATGTATGTTTCAATGATTTCTTATATTAAATAGAATGAATCAGTCAAATGTTAATGATAAACATTTCAATAAAAGTAAATCTATTAATTCATAATTTTTTATAGAAATAATTTGGCTAAAAACTAAAAAGAATATATATGGTTGAATTTAATTCGTTTCACTATTGATAAGATTAAGAAATTCTTGAAAAAATAAAGTATTTTTCAGTTTTAATAATTTTATCTAATCGTTTTTTACAAATATTTAACTTTTCTGTGATTTATGAGCGACCTGTTGTACATACATTTCCTAATAGATTGATCCTTTTAATAAATGTCAAAACAATATAAATTATCTGTCATAGTAGGAAATACTTTATTTTTCTATTCTATTTATAACTAATGTTGTCTTTTCTACAAATTTTCAAGTATTTGTTCCGTACAAAGATATTTTAAAAGGGTCACACCTTTTATAACACACTCTCTCTCTATATATATATTGTCAATTATTGACATTAGATTTCTGAAATAGTTGCTTATTACATTTGATCCTAATCTATTTCCATTTAATAAAATAGAATTAAAGATTATTAGAACGTTTTTGTTAATGGAATCAGTTAATAAATGAAGAGAAAATCTCCATAAAAAATTTTTTTATGATAAAGATTTTCTAAACATTGAATTAATGAATACATGACATGAATATTCTCTCACTCTCAGAATTTAACTTATTGAAAAGAAAATATTATTATCTTCATTAGAAGTTTAACACACATTATTATTCTTTTTGTATCTAAAGTTAACTTTGAAATTTAAATCATGATAATGTCTAAAACAAACTATTCTATATAATAAATATAGATCTAAAATGTCTTAAATTATTTTTATTTTCAATTTAGTAAAAAGCTATTCAATTACTTTTAAGAAGTTTCTCTATTATTTATGTTTATTCAACAAATATTTCTTATTTTTTTAATATAATCAATTGAAGTGAATAATAAATATTTACTTACCAATAAATGTATAGATAAATAATTATGTTTATATTCTAGATTATATTTCTTGCAAGTATTTATCTATGTCTATTATTTCTTTATTTCTATTATATAAACGAGAAAATAAATGAAATATGTTGATTAAATTCATCTATGATTTTCTATGTATTTCAAATCTAAAAATAAAAATATTTCTTAATAAACAATAGAAAATCTAATTGACTCTGACATGAAATATAATATTGTAACTTAATATATAAAGAGAGTTACATTTCAATTACTTGACAAATAAAACATCATTAACAAAAAAAAATAAATCTTTCGTATTATTATAATCAACTAAGAAGAATTTCAGGTACATCTAACATAGAATTATTTTTATCTATTCTATTCTTTTTTTAGAATATATATTTATTACAAAAGAGATTTTCTTTTTTTCTATAATAATTATAATCAATCTATATTTATTTTTAGAATTTTCTCACCTAAGAAATATTTTTCTGCTAATTAATATGACATTTGTTCCAAAAAAATTTCTTAATATAAAATCTTAGCATAGAAATGAACAAGGGCGTACTGACTAGGGAGCGCGTGGAGCGTGATGCCCCTCCCTGCTTTGGAAAAATTTTAAAAATCAACAAAAAAGTTTGTCTTACTAAATTTAAAGAAAAATTCCCGCTGTGCCTTCTCTCTGCCCTCGACATCTAGGTACGCCCCTGGAAATGAATAAAATATTCTCTAAACTATTTCGACTGATTTTAGTCTACATACTTTTCCTTAGATACTGCAGAGTACTCGAATTGGTATACATATGTCATGTTTAGTGCCAAAGGCTTAAAAAGCTTTCAACAACAGATTAAATATGATAGAAATAGAAGAGATGTTAAATGAATGAAACCTTAATTTTTTTTTCCTTAAAATGATGAAGAGAAGAAAAGAATCTGACATACTTTTAATCATGATATTTTGTTTGACAACTGATTCTTTCTAATATTATATTAAATAGATTCATTGAAGTTTTGATTCGTATACCTTGAATATATGATAATATTACATTAGCTTCTTTCTTTTACTTCTCAAGTAACGTTAGAAATGAAAGAAGTTTTTTCTAAAGTGATGTTCTAAAGAGCATTAGTAAAGAACATACATATATATATACAGAATAATTGAGATAGACATATTTGACAGTCAGGATCGTGGTCATAATTTATGTAGCTTTTAACATTTTTTATTTTCTGATCTTAATTAACTTTTGTCAGACTATATCAATCATATCAACTATAGAGATTAGAAATGACAATGAGAAAATTAATAAAGACAAGAAAAGTATATCTTTTCATTTACAAAACATTTTTCTTC